ATAATTAAATATAATTATAAATAAATTACTGATTGGTCAAAAATCCTTATTCTCACAAACATTGGTAATAAGAAATATAAATAATAAATTGAAAAATATGAATCATTTTCCAAATAATTTTAACATTGAAAATAGTCGATTTAAAAAAACGAAAGATATAGAAGTATTTATCGCATGAATAACAACAATAATTATTCAAGAATATACTTTGATTAAACTTCTATGCTGTTAAAGCGTTTAAAGCTGTTTTTTAATACTTTTTATGTCGTTAAGAAATGTATTATTAAAAAAAGACAAACATAAAATAAAAATTAATTATATTATATATACAGTATACAGACATATCTAAATATGTATGCATATGTTCTTTTTCGCTGTAGTGATATCAATGCAAATTCAGAGTTTCGCAGGAACGATCTAGAAATATGGAGAATGTAACAATCTACATGTATAGAAGCATCCGGAAAGTAGCAGGGAAAAGTGCGCATTCACGCGAGAGAGTCATGTTTTCTAGATCTATCTATTCATGACGAAATCTTATAGCTATATATGCATATATGCATAATATGAGTATAAATTAAATGTGTTTTCCACAAAAAATGCAAAATAGACCTGGAACTTTTCTATTTCAAAATAAAAACTGCAAAAATGCTTTTATAATAATTAAAATACTCTTTAAACACTCAAATTAAAATAAGAAATAGAAAATATTAAGCATTTTTAAAATAATTTTTTTAAATAAAAAAGTTTTTTAAGTATTTATATTTAAAAATTTTTGTATTTTTAATTTTTATATTTTTTACTATTATTTCTTATACATAAATAAACTTGAATTACGAAAGTTTAATTATATAAACATTTATATAAGATTACAATGCTTTTTATAATAATTAAAATCTCTTTAAACACCCCAAATTAAAATAAAAAATAAAAAATATTAGGCATTTTTTAAAAATGATTGTTCAAAAATAAAATATAAATATTTTTAATTCTTATATATTTTTAATTCTTTATATATTTCTTACTATTTTATTTTCTATACATAAATTCTATACATAAATAAATTTGAATTCTATACTAATTCTATACATAAATAAATTTGAATTACGAAAATTTGATTATATAAACATTTATATATAGAATTACAATGAATTGTATAATAATGAAAATTCTTTTTTAGACACCTACATTGAAATAGGCATTGTTAAAATAATTTTTTTAAATAAAAATATGTTTTAAGTATTTATATTTTTATAATTATTTATTCTTAAATTTTTGTTTACATTTTTATATTTACATTTTTTAATTATATATATTTTTTTACTATTATTTTTTATAGACAAATTCTTATTTCTTTGAATATTCATTTAAATTACAAAAATTAAATTATGTAAACATATAAATATGTATCGAAAATTACATTAATCTTTGCTTATATTATTGTTTGTACAGACATTCAGTTATTCTTTTAAAATTATATTTTGATTGCAATACATACATAATATAAATGAGTAATAAAAACTGCTTAAATGGAAATGTAAAATAGTTTTCAAGAAAATATTTTGAAATGTGCAAAATATGCATTTGACATCTTATATTTCCATTTTATAAATGCATCTATCATCTATCATTTCAAATATGCACAATAATACACACATTTCTGGTTTATAAATGTACTGTTATATAAATATATTTTATATAATATAACGAGGCTGTGAATCAGATGTAATAAAAACGACTAATTATCATTTCGCAATTATCAGAAATGCATTATGGTGTATTGAAATTGAAAATCGACTTATCATGTTGTATCTTTTCAACAAAGATGCATTTTCGAAATTTTTAGTAAGTAAATAAAGGAAAGATTTTGTTTCGTGTAAAAATGTATTATAGAAAATAATTATAAAAAGAATTTTGCAAATTGCAAATATAAATATTGAACGGGATGATATCAACATTTACTATCTTCTAATATTATTGTTGCTTGTATAAATTAACAAGTCTAGTATACGTTTAGAGACTAATATAAGGTCGGTCGTGTTATTAACATAATTGTTGCTGAGTCACTTATCGATGCCATAATTGTTACAACGCAAATTTGATGATAGCTAATTCTTGATCAGGTCGGTAAATCATCTCGAATAAAAAAAGTAATGACGCGCTATTTCAGGAAATGATTATAAAACACTTGACAACTATAAATATATTATATATGTATATAAATATAAGCAGGGTAAGTTAATGATTTTTTAAACTAAGTTAAGTTAAAGTTAGTTGCTTATAAAATTAATAAATTTAGTTAAGTTAAAAGTTGCATGAACCAAAAATTAACTCAGTTAAAGTTAAGTTTAAGATTAAATTTACTTTATAAGATTAAATAAATTGAAGTTAAATCAAAAGTTAATTTTTAAAAACATTTATATTAAATTAGAATTTTGTTTGTTAATTTCTTTAAAATTTATAATAACAAATAAAAAAATTTGATTTTTATATAAAAATATATTTTTTGGTTATTATAATTGACGACAAATAAACATAAAAATTAATAATATTTTAATATAAAAATAATATGTTTATATTATTTATAAAAAACAATAATGGTAGATAAAAAAATTTAACTTAGGAAAAAAGTCAATAAGTTTAAAAACAAAAATATATAACTATAGTTGAAATTAAAAATGAATAAATTTTAAAGTTATTAACTTTTAACTTTTTTTAACTTTTAACTAATTATTACTCAATTCTGTATAGAAATAAGTATATATATACTCATACTTTTCCAAAAATGCAAACGTTTATAACTCAAGAACTGTTTGAGCTACAGTGCTTCAATTTGACATACAAGTAAAATAGTGTAACATTTTTATTTACTGTCATTTTTATATAAATTTATGTAGTGTGTTTTAAATTGTAATGCAGTTTTAATTTTTCTAAAAATATCTATGGCTGCTCTAACTTACGTAAATTTTGAAATATTGGATTAAATTTTGTTACATATAAATAGAGTATCATTAAAAGATGTTTGGTATTAAATTTGACAAGAATTGGTGAGAGTTTATTTCTTATGAAATTTTGAATTTTTCAAAAAATATTTGTTTAACTTTCGTAAATTTTGAAATATCGGGTTAAAATATTTTACATAAATAAAATATTATTAAAGAATGATTGATATTGAATTTAAGAAAAATTAGTGACATGGTTTATTTTTTAAAGTTTCCTATTTTTTAATTAAAAAATTTTTTTAAATGAAAATTTTTGAATTTTTAAAAAAGTGCAAATCAGAAATTTGATTAATAATTTAAATCTTAAGTTATTAGAGATATTTGAATTTTCAGACAGTGGGACATATAAAAAAAATACACACATATGTATAGGATGTTTTTAAAATATTTTAAGATGTGAAAGATGTATGCAAATTAGAAATTTCTTTCTTCATCATTTTATTTTGTTTATTAAGTTTTTATGAGAAAACCAAAATTGAAAAACCAGCTTGAGCAAGGTTTCCAATTCTTTTATTATTTTAAGGCGCGTAGAACTTAAAATTTATGTATTTTAATTAATTTAAAAGCCTTTTTATCTAATAATCTAACTCATTTTTAATCTATTTTCTGAAATATGAAAAAATTGAAAAAGTATTATTCTAATGATTAGATCAAATATTACACGCAATATAGATGTCATAAGTATATAGTTTAAGAAAATAATGATTTATCGTTGCTCTTTTAGCAGAAATATGGAATATAAGCATTACTGCCTGTCAACTGAAAAATGTTAGCTCGATAACATTTACTCTGATAAATGCTCATTTAAGATGAAATCAGCTGAGCATTTGATCGCAATTTTCTAATGGAACTGATATATCGGTCAGTACGTGCTTGTAGAAAATACATCTCATGCGATATTATAAATTGAAATGTGCACTTTCCCTATGGACGCCTTCCTCAGGGACGGATAAGTGGATATATCTCTGGTATTCAAAATTTTAGGATTTGTCGATTGACGTAAATTATCTTATTTCGCTCCATATAAATGCGATTTTTATATTTTTCATATTTTTATATCTTTATTTGTGTATAACTCAATAATTAATTGCATTTATACTTCAACACATATTAATGTTATTATAATCAATATAAATATCTTTAGGAAAAATATAAAAAATTTTAATAAACTATAATTTTTAAGAAATTTAAAATTATAGCTAGTTGTATAAAATTATATGTAAAATATATATCCTACAGAAATAATAATATATTATAAAAAAATTGTGTATCAATTAAAAATAAAAAACATTTATAAAAATATCTTAATCAAAAGGAAAAAAGAAAAAAAGCAAATTAAACAATAGAATATATCTATTCTATATTTGATATGCATGTACGTCCCTGCATCTACTCACGTTACTTGATAGGAAAAAGCATTTGCAGAAATTTGAATCGTGTTTAGTCGGTCTCTTGGAGTCCTTCGAGCTATAAACACGATCCTCTAACGGCGACGAAATGAGATTGGCTCATCTTTATCTGACGTACTCGATACTGCTTTTAGTTTTCATAAATTCGGAAAAGCATTTCCACATCGATGTTTTCGTCGAAGTGATTATGGACATTCGAAAATTTTATTCCGCAGCGACTGTTATATTCACCCATCCTGGAGACGAGTATGGTGACTATGGCGGTTAGTTTAGAGTATAGTTTGAATAAATATTACACTGGTCAACAAAATAAAATTTTTGTTTCGTTGCAAAAGATGATTGAGATATTTTGGGGACGCTGAATCCAAAAATGACAACATAGTTTTGCCGAATTGGTTATATAGTTTTTGAGATGGATACTCAAATTATGATTTTACCCCAAATATGACATGTGTAGCAGGGTTTGGTCTGTCTTTTTATTTTTTAACATTATTTTTATCTCCAACGTGATCCTGATGATCTGTACATAAAAAATAGTACAAACAGTATTTTTCTATTCATCAATTGTGATTATCTGATTCAGCTTACTTTGTTTTTATATTATTTTACCTGAATACAACGCTATTAAGTATTTCATCATATATATATTTTTTTCGTATGATTTGAGACAGTTTTCATATGATTTGAGGATACATCTAATAATTAAATTTTTTGTATTTTTTATGTTTTTCATGGACCCTACTATCTCAAAAAAGAGATAAGATAAAAATAAGAGATTCCCAATCTAGAAAATCAATACCATGTTCGCAATTAATGGTACAAAGTAATTTTGTTGTTGAAGAATAAAAAGACAGACCAAACTCTGCATATGTTAGCAGCTACAGATCGTATTGGGATAAAATTGTTTAATTTAAGTATCTATTGTCTCAAAAACTAAAGTCAATTCGGTAAAACTGTGATTATTTTTGGATCAAGCATCTCCAATAAAGTAAACTTTAATAATTGATAGCGTCAATCTAATCGATTAATCTAAAAGTTCAAACATTCTTAGTAACTAAACAAAAGTTTATTTTTGTTGACCAGTGTTATCTTTTAGTGCAAAATTTTCGTAGCTGCATCAAACTACCCAGACAACACCACGTCTAAAAGTGGCGCATAAGACATCTTTAAGTAGTCTATAAGACGTCTTTAAGAAATCTTATGATATGATATTCAAAAGACGTCTTTTAAAGACATCTTAAGGATGTCTTATGTGCCAATTTTAGACATAATATTGTTTGAATTATCAAACTGAATTTGTAAAATCTTTGCTGTAGATCTGCAAATTACGCACCTGGTGCATACGTGTTCTCGTCTGCTAGGCCGGAACTACGTGGTGACTCTGGACGTGCACTTTAGAAAATTATGGAGATTGCTCAGATATCGCCATCAAATAGTGCAGCCCATCATCATCGTTATTATGCCCGATTTCGATGCATACCTGGAATTCGCAGAGGCTACCAATACCTATCCCATGTCTTTCCCGGTGTGGTTTGTGCTGTTCCTTTTCACACCAGCCAACAATACTCACGATCATTGTCGCCAGCCGATAGGCAATCCTTTCAACCTGGCATTCGACACGCAGATGTTGGTATTATGCCACAACGAAGAAATTCTACAAGAATGGTACTCGGTCAAAGGCGAGACCACCAAGATTTTCGATCTGGCAAAGTGGGAGGATGATTTGGGATTCGTGCCCTTGACAAACTTATCCCTCTACGATCGAAGGAACGACTTGGAGGGAGTTGTCTTGCGAACTGTCACAGTCAAGGTACTCGATTGTATACAATATTTTAAGATATGTAATATGTATACAAGGTATAACTAAACAAAGATACAAGCACACTATCTGGTGCAGGACGACCAATTAAATCGAAAAGTCTTGAGCCATTTTTTAATCTGAGCTTTATTTTTGACGCTATCAATTATTAAAGTTTGCCAATTAGCGCCTGCCTACAACGGAAAACAGCGTAGGCCAAGCTTACTAAGGCGGCGCCTACGCTGTAAACTTTAATTTATAACATATATTTCATATTTGAGTAATTGCGAAGCACAAGTGTTTAATTTAATTAATTAATATTAAACGAACTTAGGATATACCGCTTTCTTCGAGATTTGACGAAAACTACGTGGGCAGTTTGTACGGAAAAGTGGTAGATGAGCTCACGAATTCCCTCAACTTTAGTTTGGATGTCGTGTTGGCATTAGACGACCACGGCATGTGGAATCACAAGAATCATACTTGGTCCGGAGTAATGAATGAGATTGTATCAGGCCGCGCGGATTTTGCTATCGCCGATATGTCGATGACGAGTTTGCGGGTGCGTTTCGTCGATTTTACGCTACCCTTGATAATATCTAAAAACAGCCTATTCGTCAGGGAACCTGGGATATGCGGCGTCAAGTGGCTCGGTTATTTTCAGGTAATCATGATTAATAAAAAGATTGATTGACAATATAAGATCGTCTTATAGAGTTTACGTTTTCATTCAAGCGTATAAAAAATGTATATCTCTAATAGCACAACATATGCGAAAGATATTCAGAGGCTATTCAGAGGATATCCAGAGGACATTGTAACATCCTTAGGATGTCTTGTACGTCTTCGGGATATGTATGCTGTTAGGGATTATAACATTTAAAAAAGTTCCAAATTTTAAATTAAAATAATGTAATTGTGTTCAACAGACGTTCAGTTTGCGTATTTGGGTTGCGATTATCACGTTAATAGCTGTTGCACCGTTTCTGCTATCCTTCATGAAATTGTGTCGTGAATCTGGAAACATTATGGATTTGATTTCCGACAATTTTCTCTACATTTGGGGTATCTTCTGTCAACAAGCACTTATAGGTGAGTATACTTTGTTACAGAATTAATTTTACGAAGCAATTCTAATTTATTATATAAACACCATATTCATCAAATATTTTAAAAATATTTTAACAAAAAAATAGAGGATAAAAAGTGAAGGGAGAAAAAAGGAGAGGGAAAAAGAGAGAAGAAAGAAAGAAAATGAGGAAGGGAAAGGAGAGAGATAGATTTTTCTAATTAAGAAAAAAATTGAGAAACTGTAATTAAAAAGAATTAAATTATTTTAATCAGAAATTAGATAAAAATTAAATGATATTTTTAAATGCATTTTTCCTAAAACTTTTTAAGACTTAATTTTTTTCTTTGTAGCGTTTCCGAGATGTTCATCGATACGTATTGCGTATTTTACGATATTTTTAACGGCAGTATTGATAACGGCTCATTATTCAGCGGCATTGGTGTGCTTTTTAACGGCTTGCATTCGCGTTCTTCCTTTTCGTTCGATAGATGAATTTGTGGAGGATGGTACTTATCAATTAATTGTTCCACGCGGCAGTGCCGACTACGACGTAATCTCCGTAAGTTCATCCAGTTCATCTTAATTAAGTATTCTGACTTTCACTTTTGATGCTCATACATATACTTGTATAAGCGAATAAATTATTGTCTAATCATTATATATATATATATATATATATATATATATAATATATATATGATTATATATATATAACATACAGGGTGAGTCATTTTAATCAACGCACGTAAATATCTCGTATAGTAAGCAAAATGGAAAAAACGTCTCAAACTAAAGTTTTTTGTCTATGAGGGGGACATAAGATATATATTGATTTGAACTGAACATTTTACAAGATATTTTACATTTTATTCCAAAAAATTGTAAAACTTTAAACTTTTATAATTTGAAAAGTACTTCATCAAACAACACTTTATTATTGGGTTTTGGAAAGCTCTTTAGATAAGCTATAAGAATATATGTAATGAAAAATAGCAGGTCTATTTAAAAAATTGAAGGTAACCTTACGTGACCTTTAAATGATTATACAAGGTCAAATCAATAACATCATTTTATGTTCTTCTCATAGTCAAAAAACTTTTGTTTGAAACATTTTTTCCATCTCTACACGAGATATTTACGTGCGTTGATTAAAATGACTCACCGTGTATATATATATATATATATATATATATATATATTATATATATATGTATATATATATATACATGTATGGTCATAATTGTGTTGTGTGTCTGTTTATGTATATTATTAATAAATTAAATTAAATTAAATTAAATTATATTATATTAATAATATTATAATAAAATATTTTTTGTACACATAGCATCAATCAAAGTACGAACATCGAAGAAATCTTTCTCGGCGGAACTGATGAAGTTAATGAAACAGGAGTCAGAATTGCCGGAGACTTTAATTGATGGTTTCGTGCAAGTGCGATTGATATTTATAATAATAATAAATTGTTGATATTATATTAATTTTTTTCTGATAAAATTAATTTAATTACTAATTATAATTTTTTTTAAATTTACGATATTTTTTATATGCTTATTTTTTTTTAAAAGGTTATTTATATAATTTATTATATTTTTTCAGATTTGCCATGAGAAAAAGGTTGCTTATATGATATTGGACGCTTTAAAGAAAAGCGTCGAAATGAGAATTCCTTGCAAATTGTCCAGCGTCAGCACTGAGAGAATAGATAACCTGGGGATGATTCTGTCCAAAGACAATCCCTACACTAGCGTGATAAATTACCAGTGAATATCTGTTTTAACAATTTTTTTCTATTCACTCTTTTTTACTTTAAAATTACCAAAATTTTTACTGCAGTTTACAGAAATTTTTGGATAACGGGATAATGAAGCGTTTAAAGGATATGAAATTCTTGATACAATCAACTGAAAGCAAAGCTTACACACCGGTTCGCATAGTTAGTATTGTCCCAATCTTGGCGATTCTCTGTGGAGGCATTATTTTAAGCAGCGTTGTACTGGTCGTGGAGAAAATTTATTATCAATACAAGATGAAGAAGAAATTTCAATCGAGGCTCTTCTATCGCTCGAAAAAACAATTGTTTCTTAAAAGGCAATAAGGGCCACTAGAAATTTTTATTATATGATTTTATTTAATTTGTTGCTTATTGCGAATATCTTCATATTAATGAAGAAATGAAAAACTATTATTATATATACAAATATATTATATTTTATTATTATTAGTATTAATTTTATTATTATTGATATTATTAGTGCCATTATAGTATTATTAGAGAAATGCTATTTTCTATGTCTTCGTGTATATGTGTATTTACAGATTTGTAGCGTATAAATATTTTGTTTAGATATTAAAAAGTAATATATTTTTTGAATATATATAAAATCAATTTTTGTTAACAATATTATGATGTCCAATATATGAATAGTTAATCAGTATCGATGTGTGTGTGTGTATATATTAAAAAAATTTCTTTTGATCTACATTGATAACTTGTACCGTTTGATGAAACGTGAATAAATAATACTGCTTACTAGGAGTTTAACAACGATAAATAATTTATGATTCGGCCGATTATTCACCGATAAGAAGAATCGTGCCCTGATACGCATCCTCGCATAATTTATAACAATGCGGCAAGCATAATTTACAATATATCACCTGGTAGCACTCTTTTACGCGCACCCCATATTTAGATCCCTCGGATCCGATAAAGTCAAACATGTTCGCGACGATCGCTTTTCAGTCGTGCATTTGCTCTATCGTGAAACTTATTCTTTCTCTTTCTGTTAACTACTAACGCTTTTTGCTAAAAGATCCCAGCTCATGAACTATCTTTGTAGAATTATCAGAAGAAATTAAAATTACTGAGAGATTTCTTTTCGTTTCTCCTAATTTGTTTTAATTTTTATAAAAGGAACATTTTTTTCACATAAAATTAAACGTGCACATCTGCATCAATAGTTATTTTTGTATTACGATAATATTTTTAATTAAACAAAAATTATATTTCTGCATAGTTAATTATTCATTAATTTTATTCGGATTTTTTTTACTAAGTTGCTTTAATTCTACGATGAAGTATATAGTGCAATTTATTGTGACGCTCTTCTTCATGTTAACTATTAAAGCGGAAGAAATGCACATTAACAATTATTTTCGGCTAATTAGTGATGTTCACAAGTATTATTGCACTTTCAGCGTTATTTTTGTGTGGTCTGGCAACTATCATAGTAAGTATTTAAAAATTAGCCCTTCTGTCTTTCTCGCTTCTTATGTATACTATCCTGCAATTAGTAGACGGCGAAAAGAAAGTTTCTATGAGCTAAAAATAAATATATATTTAAAAAGAATATTTCATGTGCAAAAAATTGCTTTAGATATATTCGCAAAATTCTTTTTTTAAACATTTTTAATTATAAATTATAAAAAATTTCGCGTCAATAATTATATTTATATTAAGGTCAATCTCAGAGATTTCAGTAACTTTGATATACAATATTATCAAGGACATGGTTTTGAATAACTTTTTTAAAAGATTTTAGCTGTGTATGTGTGTGTGTGTGTGTGTGTCTCGCAGCAGTTTATTTAGATATTATAAACAAATTTAGATATTATAAACAAAATAAGTTTAACGAATAAAATGTACAATAATTTTTTGACAGAATGTATATGAATAAGAAGGAACACAACAAAATCTTGATAAAAGAAAAAACCGCCAAGTATATAAAAAATTCGATATTGTATGCAAAATGCCTTTGTAAAAATTTTTCTAGCAAAAGTATTTTTTTAAAGAGACACTTTACACACACAAATAATGTTGAAAAACATAAACATACACACAAATTCAATGTTTGAAAATAAAGTTTAAAAATATATTTAGAAATGCAGCTCGAAAATAGATATAAAATCAAAGCTACTCAGCCAAGTATAAATGATATATTAATTTCTGTATTATTTGATTTGATATAAAATTCATCACCTTTGTCTTCTTAAGAATAATGCTATCATTTATATAGTTAAAACGATTTAAATCCAACATTGAAAGGATTAAAATGACGAATAAAACTTGGCGTGCCCGGAGCATTAAAATATGACATAAATTTTCTGATAAGATTGCTTAAAAACTAATTTATAAAATTGATTTGTAGAGTAATAAATAAGATTTTTAAGTTATTTTATCTATATAGTAGTCTTAAGGGGATGCCGGACTGACGGCCGAACTCCAAGATTAGCATCACACATAACCGCACATATGCACGTTTACACATATACACATGCATGTACACATACATATGCGTGAAAATTTATTAATATATAATCTTTTTTTATTATATTTGTAATCTTACTTCTAATTGTTCATTAATATTCTTTCATGTTATCCCTATTACGCGAGCTATATCTTATGCACAGACTGCAGAACTTTTTTTATTAAATAAGTATTGTTACGAACTGACACAAAAAAAGCCGATAACAAAACTATAAATTTTTATTTTCGTATGATTTATATATGGAATTATAGCTAGCGCAATCCGTTTTTATAAGTACTTTAATCATGGAAAAGGATTTATTGATCTTTATAATCAATAAAACATATCCCAAAATAATCAATATTTGCATTCGGTCATGTGTGTGAAGTTAACCCCGCACTTTTCGAATTTTGAATTTTTCTTGATTGTGCTGCATTGTGCTCCGTTTGTGCTGTATTGTGCAGCGCAATAAAAAATTCAAAATTCGAAAAATGGGGGGCTAGCAAAAAAATTTTGATTTTTTTTCTTGAATATGCTTTGAGTTAGAGTTGCCGTTTGCGGCACAATACAGCACAAACGGAGCACAATGCAGCACAATCAAGAAAAATTCAAAATTCAAGAAATAGGGGGCTAGCACAAAATATTTGATTTTTTTTCTTGAATGTGCTTTGAGTTAGAGTTGCCGTTTGCGGTACAATACAGCACAAACAAAGCACAATGCAGCACAATCAAGAAAAATTCAAAATTCGAAAAGTGCGGGGCTAACTTTATACATATCATTCGGTCGGTAAAAACATACGGCATCCCCTTAAAAGTTTCAAATTATATACACTATATTTTACCGGCAACTAAAAACGTTATTTTCGTTAACGATCATACCACGTTGTTCAAGCATAGGAAGTAAGTTTAAAGTAAAAAATAATTACAGTTGAATAATACATTTTAAATTAACTAAACTAGGTTAAAAGTTATTAATTTTTTAACATTTTTCAATTTTTAATTAATTTACTATAGTTATTACCCAAACCCTGTCAGGATATGAAATTTTATTTCTCATCAAGGTATATTTGTAGTCATTAAATTGCATGTATATTTGTACATGCACGTTGTGCATCTTGAAGGTTAAAATTATTGAGAGAGAGAGAGAGGGGGGCGGGTGTGGGTGTGGATGTGTGTAAGTCTTAAACGTAAAAAATCTTACTTTTTTTAAGTATCAATTTTCGAGTTTTTGATATTGACTGTATCAATCATATCTACTCAAACCGGTTGCAACCAAAAGCTTGTAGTCACATTGCATAAGTAAAGTGCCGTTAGATTTTTTATTTATGTCGTGGAAGTATTTTGATAGGAATATTCCGAATAATCTAAATTGTGATTGATGGATAAAATGTTGTGAAAGTTACTTAGCACTATAGTGCTAATTGTAAGTAATTTTTAACTTTAACAAGTAAGGACATATATATCTTTGATAATATAAAATATTAATAAGGTCATTGAAATCTGTCAATTCGACCCTAATGCAATTATTTATCAATGCGTCGCACAGATTTTAATATGACGTCACTGCTGCACACATGGTCGCGTGACTTCTCACGACAGAGGATCATGACCGCGACTATAACCTTCTCGGATCTGGTAAGTGAATACGACGAGTACCAGAGGACCATCGCCCGGCCACTGTTTGTGGTTCTTCTCGACACTGGGGAGACCATGAACGAATTTGTTGAGGTCACGAAGAACGTTAAGCCCATCTCTTTTCCCGTCTGGTTGATCGTGTTCTTGCAATGCTCTGGAAAACCGCTCGAGAAGTATTGCCGACATCCCGCTGATAACATATTTAACGTAGACTTCGACACGCTCATGTTAGTCCTGTGTTATGATCATCCGAACCTGGATGAGTGGTATGCTATTCGCGACAATCGCACCAGGACATTCGAAGTGGCCACGTGGGCCACTGATGGAAATCTAGTTTTCAAAACGCGGGAAAATAATCTCTATGCCAGGAGGAACGACATGTTTGGCGACATCATACGCGTAATGCCCGTAAATGTGAGTTTCGAAACCTTGTCGTGAGTTACATTAATTACTTATGTTGGAAAATAATCTGAGAATTAGGGATGGGCTCGAGTTCAACATTAAAAGTCCAATTAGAATCTAATAATTCCATACAGTACAGAACATTGCAATTACATCGCAGCAATGTTGCAATCTTGCAAGTTGCAATGTAACATTGTAGAAATATTACAGGGACATAACAACATTTGAATGTTAGTTAAGTTGTTTTGTCATAAAAACTTATATATAAATGTTATACAATAAAAGACTGGTACTTATTTTTATTATTCATTATTATAAAAATTACATTGCAATGTTGCCGTAATGTTTCATTGTATAATATTACAAACCATCTAATCATAGCAATCATGCAGCAATGATGCAATAATGTTTCAACCAATATATTGCAATGTTTCAATAGCGAAGGAATTATTAAGTATCTTATAAGTAGATTCGAATTTGTTCACCTGATTTCAAACTCTTTCAAACAGTATTATACTTTCAAGTAGATACAAATAGTATATATTTTCAAGTAGATACGAACCTGGACGAGATAGCTTTGAACTCTCTATAAGTATCTCGAAAATAAAGAACTTCAAAGTTCAAACTTCTTTAACAAGTAGTATTGGAACTCTAATTATAAGATAAAAAAATCTATTTATGATACTTGCTACATATCCATGCACACTCCCCAATTTCTCATAAGAGTTCCAATTTCTCATAAAAATCAAAAACTATGATCGAACATACCTCATACAGCACCGAAAGATAGCAGAAACATTGCATATATCTTACATTGAAAGATTGCAATATTGCATGGAAGTTACAAAATGTTTCTGCAATGTTCTTATTCAAGCTTGTGGTAATATTGAAATGTCCTCTTGGAAATATTGCAATTTAATATTTAATAATGTTACGGTGCAATGTATTTAAAATATTAATACACATTATTGCTTCTAATATGTAAAACACTTCAAATTTAATAGATCAAGTTTTATGTGTGAGGATATACTGAATTTCTTGTGTTGCGGGATCGAGTCTAAAAAATTAAACTGATACTTGATTCAGATTCGACGGTATTTAGAAATACTGTTCTTTGTGTTTAAAGAGTTTAAATCTATGTCATCCTCTACTTGAAAGTGTTATTGTATTTTTTAAGTAATTATAGAGTTTGAAATCATTTGCCCCGCAAACAAATTGATATCTACTTGCAAGATACTTGAATAAGGATTTTCTTTCGCGCAAAAATTGCCACAATGAAACAGTCGACACTCGCGTAATTTGTCATAGAATCGATATTAGACTTTAATGATGCACATCCTAGCGGACACATCAGTTGCGATAGATTGACTTGATAATTCTGTTGACGAATGGGATTCGAAGGAGTCGGCATTTTTCTCGATGAAGAACGGAGCGATCGGCGGGTTTTTTGGTTTACTGCTGATAGAACTCAGCGAAGCGATGAACTTCACGTTGGAGGTTCTGGATCCAATAGATGCGTACGGCAGTTGGAATCAGCGGGAGAAAAAGTGGACCGGCGTGATCGGTGAATTGGTGAATGGCAGAGCTGATATCGGCGCTTCCGCATTCACAATAACAGCAGACAGACTAAATTTTATCGATTTTACATTGCCATTGATACATTCGCGATCTCGTCTCTATTTTAAGCAACCCACCAGAGTGCATTGGTCTGGATACTTCACGGTAATGTTTATGTCGTTTAAGCATTATATACGCGTGTGTAATCTGTAATAATGATATTATAATACACAGGATGCCATAAACTTACCAGAAAACCTGTTAATGACAGATTCCTGGGTCCAGTTGAAGACGATTTTTCCTCACCGAAAATGTCGAGGGAGGCCATCATTTTTGCATGTTCTCAATTTTTGCCATCATGTATCTTTTGTAACTAAACCTTAAATTAAAATTCTGTTAAAGTAAACTTTATCTAAAATTAACTGAAGAATGTGGTTTTGTAAATATTTTATTTCCACAAGTTTGCGAAAAACCCTTTATTTTCAATCTTATAATTTAAGACACTTATAACTTGAAAATTATTGGTGTCTCGACATTTTTACCGAGAACAAGATCCCAGAAATCAATTAACAGGTTTTTCGGTAAGACTGAAACACCCTGTACTCTGTATATAATATACAATATACAAAATTTAGTATACAATATACAATATATATGATTTATTTTTATAATTTTTTAAATATATATTTGATGAAAAATAAATTCTTTTAAATTTTAAATCGTATAAACCTTTCAGGCATTTAGTTACGGGATTTGGATAATGTTAGCGACGGTAATAATAATTGCCTCTATTCTGTTAAGTGTTATAAAGGTGAAAGGGTTTTCAATGAATCTACTATTCGAAAACTATGTTCATGTTTGGGGTATTTATTGTCAGCAGGGTTGGTCAGGTAATATTAAACTACCGATATGCTCATATACAAACATAATATCATTAAATATTATGTAATAAGAACATTTTTCGAACTATTTCTTACAATATAACTGTTTGCGGAATGATAGAATTTTCCAGCAAGTTGTCAATGAGATTGGCTGTTTTATCGATTTACGTCTCATCGTTAATAGTCACATCCGCTTATTCCGCCTCGTTGATCAGTTTCCTGACACTGACTAAGACCAACCTGCCTTTCTCCACTTTTGAGGATTACGTTAAAGATGGTTCTTATAAATTAATTGCCATAACAAACAGCGCCGAGTACAATATGATTCATGTGAGTTCTCTCTGTTCTATTAGCTATATTACAAATTAATATTGTTTGAGTAATAGCAGTTTGTGAATCGCGATATGAGTAGTTGGAAATTTTAATTAAAAAGTATAATTATAAATAAAAATAATTTTATTTAGAATTTTCTGTTTTATATATTAATTATATATTTATAATCAAGAAGAAATTTTATCTAAAAATATTAATATTGTATAATATAAAAAAGGTTAATAATAATAATAATTTTTATAATAATAACAATTTGTGTAATAAATTAATTTTACTTATTGATAAATATAAAATCTATTTTTTCTTTTCTGTCTCTTATATTCTTACGATATAAATATAACTAGAGCTTTTAAAAGAGACTATAATATATTAATTGTATGATTGAAAAAAGAATAATATAGTATTGAATTTTGTTTGAATGATTAATTTTACAAATTGCAGCACATGAAGACTCCCATATTTCTGAAAATGCACCAATTGCTGGAAGAGAAAAAACATTTGCCATCTACATTGCCAGAGGCATTTAAACAAGTTAGCGGTTTAAATAGTGATATTAATAGCATTACATTTTTTTAAAAATTAATTCACACCAATAATTCTTATGCAGATTTGCGAACGGAAGAACTTGGCGCTTTTTACGACAGAGCTATTTAAAAGTGTCACGAACATTTATTTGACGTGTAAAATCAGACATATCGAGAGCGGAAGAACTGATAGTTTAGCGATGGCTCTAACGAAGGGAAATCCTTACACTGGTCTTATGAATTATAAGTAAGTTTATAAAATATGTAGATAATTTCGAAAAAAGTACTTTCAAATAGAATCCATCTTAAACAAAAGGGTTCGAACTCTCTATAAATACATAGAAAAACAGTACTTCCAAATACTAAAAATATTCAAACCTAAATCAAGTATGTTCAAATCTATTATATGCATATATTATAAAAAGTTTAAAATCACATATAAACAAATTCTTTACTTGTAAAATACTAAATTCTATTGCTATTGACAATTTATCATTTTAAAGCAATATACTTTTTGAATTTTATTTTGATAAGTAATTTTATTACTTATTGAATTTTATATAATTTATTTTTTGGATTTTATCAAACTTTTATCAAATCTTTTATCCAATTTTTTTATCAAACTTCTTAATATTTATAAAAATATCAAGGACATTTTTAATACATATAAACCGAGTTTAATAGTGTTATTTAATAGTGTTAAAAATATCTTGAGAACATTCTGAGAGAATTTTATTAAAATAGTATAATATATTAATAAGAATGTAATATTGTAATGAAAATTGTAGTAAAGGATTGAATTATATTTAATAGAATTGAATATATATATAATATATATATATATATATATATACATACACATATATATATATCAAATTATTTATGGTTGTTAAGTTTTAATTTTTCATTTTAAATGTTTTGTAATCAAACATTTTTTTCAGTTTACGGCGATTTCAACTTAATGGTGTCATAAATAAATTGAAAAGCAAGCATTTTTCAAGAAGTAATAAACTGGAAATGAATTATAATGTGGTTAGTTTAGAAGATGTAACGCCGACTTTAACAATAGTGGCAGGAAGTATAATCCTGGCATTGTTTATCTTGATAAGCGAAAAAATGTATCATTCTTTGAACATTCAAAGGTTTAAAAGAATCGAGTTAAAAAATCGAGATAAGTTCTTGGTTGAAAATCATAAAATCGAAGTAATAAAGAATCTAAAATTTCAACAATATTTTGAATAATATAAAAATTGATCGAATATGATATTAGAAAATATAGATTTTTATTCTAATAACATTTAGTACAATATTTAAGTTATATATGTAATTTTAATGATATATTATAGTGTGTTATTGAGATAGTATAGTTTAAACTGAATTGTTTAAATTAATATTATTTTTTTCCTTTGAATAAAAAAGTGCTCTATATATTATATACAGAGAGAACCTTGCATTCTATATACAGGATCAATAACTTTGTACATCTGCAATATTTCTTCTATATTTAGAAATACGAAAACATTGTAATTACAAAAGTTGTATGGCATCAAGAGAGCCATAATACGATAGTAATAATTTTCTTGTGAATGGAGACATTTCTGAGGTTATTATTTTTTTAAAGAATCCACTAAAATTTTCTTACATGCATAAATCGATTTTATTTAGAAAAAACAAATTTATATAAATATTTCAAGTCTTGCCTCGCCTTATATCGCTCGAAATACGCGATACTGAAAGCTACTTATTTCTTCTAGATTCTAGATGTAAGAATGTATACTTTTTACAAAAATTACAGGATACTTCATTTTTTTAACAAATAGGTAAAATTTGGGTTGTAACATCATGCAAAATGAATGAAATTCAAATAAAAAAAATATAAATTAATACATATATTTTTGTTATATCTTCCTCCTTCCTATCTTCAGTGCTACATAAAAAACCTGAAAATTTATGAGAATAATTAATGAAAAATTATAATTATATATAAAAAAAACAGCGCGCAGCAAAAAGAAGTAGCTTAATATATTACGAGATATTACTGTGCCTATATATGTGTTAATGATTTTATAGAGCTCCTATAGTGACAGTATTTACAATATAATTATGTCATAGTTTACTATAAATATTTTTCGTATTATAATATAAAATTTCGTGTGAAAGTTTTCTTCTAAATATTACATAATGTTATTCATAATTTTAATTTAGAGATGTTGTCCTCTAGATAATTATAGAAGCGTTTTGCGGGTAAAGATTTGCTAGCATTTCATTTGATACGTAATGCGTATTTTCGAATTTGCAAAAATAGCGACCTATTTCGTTATTATCGACCCATTTCGGCGCTGTTAAAGTTAGATTGTCTAAAATAAAAAAATACAAATAAGAAACAATGTATGAAAAAAAAAAAAACTAAATAATAAACAAATTAATATAAATAAAATTACGATATAAATGTAAAATCAATAAAAAGCTGAATTATAAAAAGAAACAAAATATGTTTGTAGAATAAACAAATATATAATTTTAATTAAAAAGTTTAATATATTATTTTAAACAACGCGTTTAATATGATATACCTATAATATATTTATACCTTCGCTTACGTACCATATTTTATTATTATCAATAAGGAAAAACGCGCTCGCGATACTCCGCACGTGAAGCAGTCCCGCGCGAACCGCGCAGCATAATGAACATATAAGATATGTATTAGGGTACAATCCGTTTCATACATGATGCGGATAATGCATCAATTATCCATGTTGTTCACTAAATATTAAACAAGGATAAATGATACATTATGCATGAAACAGAATGTACCTTTAATCAGATGAAAGCGCGGATATTTTGATCGAAAGATTTTTGTAGAAAATTATATTTTTTTTGTTTTTTATTAAAAATTTATATATTGATTTTTATGAATCACGTAATTAATAAATATATTTCTATGCATGCATTGTAATAATCATTTTATATATGCGTTGCAATTTGTAAAGTTTTATTATCAAAGACTAATACACCTTCGCTTTGCGCACGTAATTATATATTCGATTAAACTAAACAAAATGAGAAAAAATATATAAAAAGATACATTTATACAAAATAGTTCTCAAACAATACAAATAGAAATTCGGCAAATTAAAATTATGTACATAATAGAAATTCAATAAATTAAAATTATATACATGATAGAAATTTGGGTATTAAAATTATGTACACAATAGAAATTCGGCGAATTAAAATTATTTACATAATAGAAATTCAGCGAATTAAAATGATGTATATTATAGAAACTCGGCGAATTAAAATTATGTATAATAATAGAAATTCGACGAATTAAAATTATAGTATCAAGCAACTGTTATTGTGAAGATTAACAATTTGACAGTTGTAAAATAAGCAATAGAAATACCTTGGAATCAAACTTAGCTTTTTGGGAATCAGAGAAAAATTTTGCCACAATTTCTACACAAAAATATATATCAAGTATGTAGTATGTATAAATAATGTATAATATTCTTATTGTCGATATTTTGAAATGTCTTATATATTGCAAAATAAAAATTAAATTTAATTTATTAAAAATTATCTAAATCGCTTTCGTATCGTTTTGTTTTAACTTTTTAAAATCGTATATAAAATCGTATAATATATAAATGGCAGGAAAAAATAATAGTATAGACAATATTTTATTATTTAACTGCTGTAGATTGTGTCCATTAATTTTTTTATAAATTCATGTATATTATATATGTATTTTGACATTTAAAAACAAAAATTTTATTGTTTATATTATTGAATGTAGTCAATTAATTATACAGCATTGAAAAAGAGGCGTCCAGATCGCAGCCAATCACTGCGTTCGACGTACTTACCTATCTATGTACTTACCTATCTATGTACTTACCACGTTTTCCGAAAAAGATAAGGACACTCAACTTTCGTAAGTCTATCAAGCAAGTAACACCTGTGATACTAGTGTACAATTATATTAAGAATAAAGACTATAATTTATATACTAAATACTCTGTTCCTGTGTGAATCCGCCACACAATTGGTGGCTCCGAAATACAGCTGCAGGCTAAACTGTAATGGCTGAAAACCAACAACTCGTTGATACAAAATACCTATTACTGACATTAATAAACGAGTTAAGACGCATATTCGAGAGATGTAGTTCATCTTGCCGAGCTCGAACTTTTACCTACATTTTCCTCGCATTCTGTACTTTTATCTGAAATGGAATTTAGTCCAAGACGAGAGTCATCGAACATGTAGTAGCAAAACAAATGAGTTCGCAAATTCAAGACACAATAGTCGTTTCCCGGCGATTTATTATTTATTATTATTCCTCAATCAGAACAAAAAGATAATTTTCATAAATAAAACTAATATTAAAAATTATAATACTAATATTAGGAAAAATAAAACTAATATTAGAGGAAAAATAAAACTAATATAAGGAAAAATAAAATTAATATTAGAAAAGTAAAACTAATATTATAGGTAAAATGTATTTTTGGCAAGTTCTTAAGTATTAAAAGTTAATATATAAAATTGAGAAATAGCACGTAGCGCGCGCTTTCGTTGCTCTATATAGTACATAAAAAAAGCGCGCGGCAAAATAAAGCAGCTTAATATCATGTGATATTACTTATATGTGTTACTAGCGTAATTTTATAAAGCTATTATAGTGACAGAATTTACACTATAATTATGTCATAGTTTACTATATAATATTTAGTTTTATAAAATTTTATAATATTTAGTTTTATAAAATTCTGAAAGTTTTCTCCTAAATATTGCATGTTATTCATAATATTAATTTACATATTTTGTCCTCTGTGTAATTATAGCGACGTCTTCGGGGTAAAGTTTTGTTAGCATTTCATTTGGTACGTAATGCGTATTTTCGAATTTACAAAAATAGCGACCAATTTCGTAATTATCCATCCATTTTGGCGATGTTAATGTGAGATTGTCTAAAATAAAAAAAATATAAATAAGAAACAATGTACGAAAAGTAAAACAAATAATAAACAAATTAATAAATGAAATGTATTATAACTGCAAAATCAGTAAAAACCGAATTATAAAAAGAAATAAAATGTTCGTAGAATAAACAAATATATAATGTTCAATAAAACATGTTCAATATGATATATAATATATTCATACCTTCATTCACGTAACATATTTTATCATTATCGGTAAGAATAATATAATTTGTTTGTCGCTTTATAAACTCATAATTGTGACAATGATTCAACGGCAAGAAATCTATTTCTGTTGTATGATTTACTGCAGACCATCCGTCGTAATAATCTATAGATCGGGTGTAAAAATTTCAAAACATCTGTCTGTATGACGATCCCATCTGATTATGACGCCGTCGCAATTATTGCACTCATTACGATGTGTTACGATCATTCCTACCCCAAACTTTACGTCTTCTGTTCTAATGAAATGCCCTGTTTTTTTTAAACGAAGCCTTTTTATCTGAAAAGATTAATATTATACTTTTATTTATCACTCTTATCATTTAATTCTTAAATGATAACACTTATAGCAAATTTAATTACACTTATTGTTAAATTATAAATAATTATAACTCATATGTGTATATAGCTGTACGTATCAAAGAGAAAGGAGAGACATTTTTTATTACTATTATAATATCTTTTAATGCACGCGGCGTGTATAGTGCAAACATACTTTAAATTCTCTTTTACGTATTACGTAGATCAATCCTATTACGCTGCTTAATCTGAGAAGTGTTATAGTGGTATGTCAAATCCGCAACTCTTAGCATTAACTCGTCTCGCATCTGACATCGTGATACTATATCAAAGCATTCGTCCATATTAAAGCAAGGAAGTTTATATACATGCCACGAATTAAACTCATACAGTTTATTGACAAGACAATCCGGGAATTTCCCAAAAGTTATACTAAAACATCTTTTATTTTCTGGATTAATCGTGTCACTGCAAAGCAAAAAAAATTATTTATCTATTATGCGCACTTGTGTATGTAGAAAGTGAAAACACTTTTTCAAAGATTTAAATAATTCCAAATTTAATTTTATACTCCTTACTATATTGATATCTAATATATACAGGGGGGTAGTTCTGATCGACCATCGAGTCCTACAATTTCGCAACGTAGACCAAGTCTACTGGCCACGCTGTGATATATTATTATTAAAATAATTTGTTGTCCATATATACTTTTTAATACATATG